CAACTCTGACTTTTGTACATTGTGCTATTAACAATGCACATAGTGTTCTGAAATACACTATTTTTTTTACAGAGAAATAGCTGTCAATCTATTAGTTGATGAGCAGGCAGATATAAAAGCTTTCCTTATTTAGTGTTTCCAAGGGAACCCTTCTCTCAGTATAAACTCATTCAACATTCGAGCTTTGAAGAAATTGTATTTTCTCTGTGTGCATGTGAAAGGAAAATAAAATAGAGGTGTAAGTTTAAAACTCTGGAATGAGACATTAGGTCTATGTCAATAAAAAGTATTGAGAGAATCAGTTAACCATATGGATTTGATTGAACACAAGCAAGATGATGTTTAAACAAAGAGAAAACTGGAAGAAATAATTGTGCCCTAAAGAGCCTGGTTAGTGAAATATTTCAAGATGGGGATGCCACCATAAACACTGTCAGAACATCACTACAAAGAGAAGTGAGACAAGATGACAAAGTATCACTAGCAAAGAACTGACAGGAAAGAAAAATAGAGGCAATGAGTTATTAAAAACAGCCAATCTACATATATGAATTTATCAATATTTATTTATAGCAACATTTTATAAAGAAAATTGCCCAATATAGTCAATTTCAAAAGCCAATAACTCAAGCAGCTATGAAACTTTTAAATTGGTCAAACAACTGAGTGCAAAATCTACATTAAAAGGATTTGATCTCTAGTTTCTTGGGTGTACTTAGTAATCTCTCATTACTATCATTCACTTATGAAAATTTTGAATGTGCTTGAAATACTAAGATATACATTGATATGAAAATATTTCTAATTATGATAAGTTCATTACATTTATTGCGCTTTTATTTGTTTAGTGTTCATGTCTAACACTAGCATTTTAATGCTTAAATGTGTTTAATATTCAATAAAATACATATGCATACATTCACACAGACTTCACTGAACATCTGAGAATACATACACAACTTTAAAATGAATAGCCAGAGTACTAAGGTTTGAAAATGACATATCTTCATTCCCTAAAATAGGTAACATTCAGCTAAGAAGTTATAGTACTGGAATTCAAACAAATCAAGGGAAATTGATATCTTTCTTAAAGTAATATGGTGAAAAAATGTATACATTTGTCAATGTAATGTCATATTTCCCCCATGGATTTTGAATTTCTCTTCTTAACAGAAATGACAACTAATATGTGTAGTTTCCTTTATTTTAACAAACAAAAAAAGAAAACACCTGCATGAGTGTTTAGCTCCATGTACAAATGGAGCAGTTAACAAGTGACAGTTCTGAGATTTCAATTTAGATCTTTTCCCACCAGCGTAGTGCTCCACTCGTTGGACTTGAGGCCACTCACAGTACATAGACCAAAAACCACTGATAATATGCTTAAATGTTAGAATCTAACCTCCCTGGATTTCTGTGTCATTATTTGTAAAATAAAATAATTTACTTATGTGACCTCCAAGCCCCACATATGATCTTTTAATATTTTCAGCCATGATTAGACAGAATTACAATAGAAGTCGTGATGAAATATGAAATTGTTTTTTAAATGGAGCCTAGTGATTTGCAAAACATATATTTGTCTATAGAACTAAGTAATTTCATAGTTTATGTTAATGTGCGCATTTCTTTAGCCATAGCATCTGCTATCCAAGCTCACATCCAAGGCCCATTGAGGAGCAATATGAAAGAGAAAAAAAGGAATACAAACACATTTGATAAATTCTTACAAGATAGAGCAACATGTAATTTGTTCTGTTTTACATTTTGGGGTTTTTTAAAATAATATAACCAGTATTATAACAGATGTATTGAGATATAGTTCACATTCTAAAAAATTCACTTTAATGTGTAAATTTCAGTGGTTTTTAATAGATTTGCAGTTTCATAACCATTAAAATTTTCTAATTTTAAAATATTTTCATTATCCTCAAGATAACCTTTTTCTACATTAGCTATTACTCTATATTCCCACCTACCTGGTCCCTAGCAACCACCAACCTACTTTTTATGTCTAAGAATTTCATATCAATAGAATCAAACAATATGTAGCCTTTTGAGAATATCTTCTTTTAATGCTTTCAAGTTTCACCCATGTTGAGGCACACAGTACACGGTTCCTTTTGGTTATTAAATAATATTCTATTGCACAGATAGAGCAAATGTAACCTGCTCAGTTTGTGTATATTTAGTTTTCACTTTTTTGTTAATATGAAGGAGGCTGCTATGATCCTTCTTGTTCAAGCTTTTGAATAGACATATATTTTTCTTTCAGGTACATACTTAGAAGGGGAACCATTAGATTATCTGATGAGTCTAGATTTAATATTGTTAAGAACTTGCCAAGTCGCAGCAGCCATTTTCCAGTCCTGCAGCAATGTATGAGGGCTCTAATTTCTCTACATCCTTGTCAACGTCTTTTCTATCTTCACAATCTTAGTGCATGTGAAATGATATTTTATTCTGATTTTTATTTGCTTTTCCCTAATGAATCACGTTGTGGAGTATCCTTTCATATATTTGTGGCTATTTATATATCTTTCTTGGATAAAAGTCCTCTGGCAATTGAATTGCAAATGTTCTTTTTATATTCTGAATATTAAATATTAACATATATGATTCTTAAATATTTTTTCTATTCTATGCTTTGTATTTTCATTGTGTTAATGACAAAAATTTAAGCAAAAAGTATTTAATTTTAATAATATTTATTTTCTTTTTCACTATGCTTTTGGTATTATATCTAAAAAGCCATATCCTTCCTCAAAAATATAAGATTTACTCACATTTTCTTTTTTGAGTCAAATTTTATACATAGAGTGATGTAGGGGTCTGCATTTATAATTTTTCAAGTGATAGCCAGTTGTTCTAGCACAGTTTATTGATGAGACTTTTTCCATTGAATGGGCTTGACACCCTTGTAAAAGGTCAATGGAGGGTCAGGGATTTAGCTCAGTGGTTCCGCTGCCTGCTTCACAAATGCAAGGTCCCAAGTTCGATCCTCGGTACCAAAAAAAAAAAAAAAAAGTCAATGGGTTATAAATATAAGAGTTTATTTCAGAGCTTCTAGTTCTATTCCATTGATCTAATATGTTTTTCCTTGTACTGGTACCAAATTTCTTTGATCACTGTAGCTTTGTAGTAAGTTTTGAAATTGGGAAGATTGATTCCTCCGACTATGCTCTTTTTCAGTATTTGGCTATTCTAATTTTTTTGCATTTCTGTATGAATTTTAAGGTCAATGTCTTAGTTAATTTTCTCACTGCTGAGACAAAATACCCAACACCATAGTTAAAGGAGGAATGGTTTTTTTCAGTTCGCATTTTGTAGAGGTTTTAATCCTCAGTGAGCTAGCTCCAAGGTAGGATGGCATGGCAGGGAGGCATCACAGACGAGAAAGCTCATGGCATGGCAGATCAGGCAGAAGGTAGCAAGCACCAACAGCAGCACCAGCAGCAGCAGCAGTAAAGCAAGCCTCCCTTTCCCTTTTATCCTATCCAGGGTAAAGCCTTTTGGGTGGTACCTCTCACACCCAGAGTGGGCCTTCCCATTATCCACACACCCTTGATCCCAGTACCACACTCCCTAGATCCAGCCAGCTCCAAAAAGCCCCACCTGTGAATGCCTGAGGCTTTGGGGGGACATCTAGATACAAACCACAAAAGTCAGTTTGTTAATTTCTGCAAAAACACCCAACATTTTAGCAAGGATTGTGTTGAATCTATGGATGAATTTAGGGAGTGTTATAATTTAGCTCGAAAATCTCCCTCAAAAGTTTCATGTGTTTGAAGAATGCCTGGATTACAGGGGTGCTATTCTCAACAGTGGACGGATTCATTCATGAGTTCAGAAGCTCAATGTATTGTTAAGAGGTGGGGCTGGTAGAAGGTGGTTCACTGTGGGTGTGGCCTGGAAAAGTTATCATCCTTGTCTCTGGCTCTTTCTTCTCGCTCTGCATCCTGAATGCCACGAGGTGAGCAGCTTTATTCTCCTACTCCCTATCACCCTGTTATTTCTGCCTTGGAACCAGCTGGCCATGGACTGAAACCATGATCCAAAACACACCCTCTCCTCCTTTAAGTTGTGGGTGTCAGGTACTTTGTCTCAGTGGCAGGAAAGTGACTAAGACAGGGAATGCTATAGTTTTTAATATGTTCCTCTAAAATTCATGCTGAAATTTAACCTCCAATGTAGAAGTATGAACAAGTAGAGCCCTTAGGAGATTAATAGGTCATTATGGATCCTTCTTTGTGAATAGGATTAATTCCCTTATAAAAGAAGCCTTGGGGACCATTGGGCCCTTTTTACCCTTCCACCTTCTGCTATGTGAGGACACAGCATTCATTCTGTTATTATTTATATCTAGATGCTCCCTCAAAGCCTCATGCTCTCACAGGTGAAGCTTTTGGGAGTTCCTGGGTCATGAGTGTGTGGTACTGCATCACAGGTATATGATACTAGGTTAGTCCACTGATTGGTTTAGCATAGTTATAGGTATGGGTAATGGATTTACTGGAGATAGAAAACTCATTTTGGGTGTGGATGGCACTAACCAATAGGCTTTTAGCCTGGAGAGAATACAAAGGGAATAAAAAATAAAGTCTTGCTGTCTCCTGCCTACCATGCCATGAACTGTTTCTCCTCTGCCATGCTGCCCTGCCTTGGACTTAGCCAACTATGGACTGAAACCTCTACAAACTGTGAACTAAAATAAACCTTTCCCTCTTTAACTTGTAAGTATCTGGTATTTTGTCCCAGCAATGAGAAAGTAACTAAGACACATCCCTTCTGCCATATGAAGTCATGCCAAGAAGGCCTTTAACAGAAATCAAACAGTGTCACTGACCTTGAACATCCCAGCCTCCAGAACTGTGAGAACTAAGTTTCCATTCTATTTCACAATATATAATAGTTGTATTAGTCAGATTTCTTACTGCTGGCACAAAATACCTGACACCTGCAATTTAGAGGAGGAGAGGTTTAATTTGGTTCATGGTTTCTGGAGGATCAGTCCATGGTCAAGGCTCCAAGGGAGAAATAGCATGGTAGAAGGGTGAGCAGAAGGAGAGCCTCAGAGAGGACGGAACCAGTGACCAGATATTGTACACAAAGTCATGCCTTTATGACCCACTCACCCATACCCAGAGGTTCCTAAACCAAAAAGTGGACAATACAGCTTACGTGTCACAATGACATACTGAAAAGAATTATTTTCTTCATATAATTTAATTTCATTTTTGCAATATTCACTGCTAGTACAATTTTAAATAACTATTATGAGGGTACTGCTGTTGGAGAATTGCAATTCTGCTTATCCTTGTATACTCAACTTACAAATATCCATATTTGTTGTGAGGGAGACGAAGATCAAAAGGGAAAGATTTCTTCTCTCAGCAATTAAGCAGATATTTATATACTCTGCTCTTTAATTTTTTTAATTGGAGAACAAGGTGGGAAGGGACTGATAGCAGCAGAAAGTGGTGCTAACCAAGAAGAGTTTCTCAATTCTGGCATTTTGAATTCACCTACATTTTAGGATAGGCATTTCACATTAGTTATGGGATTCAAATGAGAGAGACTCAGAAACAGAAATATGGAGAGCAACAAGACACATGATGATATTCTGCACTTTCAGTCCCATGCCTGCAAAAATCTATCGCTCTGTTTAAAAACATATAGCATCTCAAGTCAGGGATCATACATTGGTTCTCCCCACTTTCATTTTGCTCTCTAAAATTGCCCAGATAAATTGAGTCATATCAAAGTTTTGCATGCTGTAATCCACTCAAAAATGAAAACTTTACTCAAAGAGTTAGACCTAGAAGAGCATCAGCTAAACAGTCTTCCTTTTTTTTTTTCATTCCTTTTCCACAAGCTTTAGTGATGGCTGAAAATAACAGGCAGTGAAAGCAAATGTCAACCAGAAACATTGACTGGAGTAAGTTAAATGTTCATTTCCAAAAGGACCTTTAAACTGTAGTAACTGCAAGGAAAGTGATGAGTTATGGGTCGGAATTTGTGCTCTGAATCTAGTAGCAATTTGCACATATTTATAAACAGTGTAAAAAAGAGATTCAACAAAAACTATAAAATACCTAGTAGCTTTGCTGTTTCCTTCTACACCATATAGTCTTAGCTTTAGATATTTTCTATCTAAATTAACCAAAGAAGTAAAGTACGTTTGTGTGTGTGTGTGTGTGTGTGTGTGTGTGTGTGAAATATGTAGATCAACCCACCACAAACTGCTTTCTATCCATATGTGTTTTACCATTAGCTATATTCCTATATCTTTCAGGAACATTTATTCTCTAGATAGATAAATAAATTTCATCTTGGGGTTTCTATAATTCTATGGACCCCAAATAATATAACCTCAAATAGCTACTAAATTGTACATCCATCCCTGTGTCTTGTATTTACCTGTTCATAAATTGCTTGTTGTTTTAATTTAGTTTTGTAGTTAATGAGTGCTGAGCCACTTTAAGCGGTCTCTAGCTGAGCTTACTATGCTTTTCTCTTTTAACCGTCATTCGTAGAACTGATGAAATGTACATATTAATAATTGATCCCATAATTACCAAAATGCACATGCAGTTATGCATTCAAAAGAAATCTAAAAGCTTTCTATAGTTACTGTGGTGGCTTTTTTAATCTTTAATTTTTGCTCTAATATGCATGTGAGCTTAGGAAATACTTCACAAAAACCAAATAAATGGACTAATTCCAAGTTAATGACTTTCTAATTAAGATAGAGAGTGAGACTGTAGGAGAGGTCTTTTTTTATTCCTCTAGTTAATCTTTATTCATTCTCCAAAATTCAGTAAATGTTAATTCACCTAATTAAAACTTTCCTGAATATATTCCTGTCTTCCATACCTAGTTTTACATGATGTGGTACTGTGAGGTCTCCAAATACCTGATGTTTACCTCTCCCACAGGATTTATCATGTATGGATAACATAATTCTCTAGTTTCTGATTTATTCCCTACAGAATAAGCTTCCTTAGTTCAGAGAATATGTCTTTCATTTTTAAAATCCTTATGTCTTTTCCTGTGTTTAATATATGTTTGGTAAATAACTAAGAACTTTATATGTTTGAAACAACAAATTTCCCTTTCCTTTATTCCACTGCTGAGCCATTGCTCTTCTATTATTTATTTCCACATGAGTGTGGACCAGAAGCTCACTTCAAACTCCCACTTTAATCCCAATTAGGATTATAATTTGGCTTTTTCATATTGGCTTTTCATTCATCTTCTAGTTTAAGGGCCTTTATATACAATATTCCAGTTTGATTCACAATCTCTCAGCTTTTGACAATGTAGTGATCCATTCACAATTTAATTCAGGAAGGGAAGCCCCAGTAGATGTGAAAATAAGTTCATCTCCATTGGATAACTTCAGTAAGACTGCGGAAGATCCTTATTCAAATTCTTTTCTTGTGAACCCAACATGCTAGTCCTTTTTGTTTATTTGCATGTTTGTGTGTTTCAAAACAAAACTTGGATATTTAACCACTGTCAGTTATTAGGAATAATGCTTTAGTGTGAATTTATTTTACTGCTCTTTTCCCAACATCTAGCAGAGATCAATAGCCCTAAAGAGTAAGGTTTTATTACAACAAAGGTAAAGGATAAAAGGTTCAATCAGTAGCCTGTAGCACTTGCTTCTGGGGAGGGAAGACCAGGGTGGTACTGTACCTCATTAGCAGCCTGTACAAAGCCAGAGAGTAACAGAGGCTATCAAGGCAGACAGGTAAAATAAAATGAAAAAAACTATTTCTTACAGGAAATTACATTAAGGCATTAAGGAAAGACATAGGGGGCAAAGACAGATTTCTTCAACTTTAAAATCTTAGGCAGCCTGTGCAATCTTTGTTTTTTTAATAACACTGATGGAGAAGATAGGAATAAGTGGCTCCTTCCAGCCCCAGTTTTACCCTTCCAGCTCTATCCCTACTCTACTCTCAGATTTTATAATTATTCCAGCAATGCAATATTTTGGCAACATGTCTTCACAAAGTAGATAGGCAATCACTTAGGGAATTAGTGCAGTCACTTACATTTGTCTTGGTTTGGTTCAAGTAAAGTGAAAGACAATTTCACATAATGCAAATGATCCTTCCTATGGAAAATCTGCATTAAATATGCTTCGGACTTAAAGTTCACCTCTTGTGTGTTGAGAGCCTCCTGCCAAAAAATAAACAGTATCAGTATATCATTCCAAATGGAATCACTTATGCAAATATCTACCACTGGCATTCTGATGCTTAAACTCTTATTTCATTTTAAACTAACAATAAAAATCCTGGTAGACAGTTTACGATATGTAATCAAATCAATGTCACTAGAAGGATGAGGAACAATTTGTAATTCAGATCCTAAAAAAGACATGGACTTATTTCTGGATTACAAATAGAGAGCTCCAAAGGAAATACCATAGATGCTAAAAATAAAAGAATCACTACCAGTAAATAATATAATACCTTACTTTTAGACTACACTAAAACAAAAACACTTGACAACTTGGTTACTTACTTGGCTCTCACAATTACCTGGAAAGTTACCTGCTATGGTGTGTATGGAGATGTCCCCCCAAAACCTCATGACTCAGGGATGGGGCTTTTCAGAGGCAGCTGGTTCCAGGGTGTGTTTAAATTGTGTATTGCTGGGTTTAAGAGTGTGTGACTAGTAAATTAGTCCACTAATTAGTTTGGCACACTCCTGGGTGTGGATAATGGGAAGGCCCACCCTGGGAGTGGGTGGTACCACCCAAAAGGTGGGTAGCCTCGAAGGGATAAAAAGGAGAGGCAAGATGCTGCTGCTGCTACTCACTGATTGCTGCTTTGCTGCCTTCTGCCTGTTCTGCCATGCCATGGACTGTTTCTCCTCTTCAGTGCCTCTCTGCCATGCCTTAGTTGCCTTGAAGCCAACCAACTAAGGATTGAAACCCCTACAAGCTGTAAACTGAAATAAGCTTTTCCTCCTTTAACTTTGAGTATCAGATATTTTGTCTCAGCAACAAGAAAAGAGACTAAAACAGTACCTGAGGCAGGTGTGGTCATTTGAACTACACACAGCTGAGACCACTGTTACTCAAGTAGTTGATTTTAGAATGTGCAAACATCCTACTTCACAGGTGGTGTCCATTGGCGTTTCTGAGCTCTGAGTAAAAGGGAATTGTCCTGGGTTGCATATAAAATATATAAAATGAAGCACATAAGAAACAAAACTTCATTTTTTTATATTTTTAAAAGAACATTAAAATGAAGTAACAAAATTTACATGTTTGCTTGATAAAGACCTGCCTTCCTAGGAACACATGCAGTAGGTTGAATCTGAATATCAATAATCACTGTGTTTTACTCACCAAGTGGCCAAGTATATAATGTCTGAAAAGCATGGGTTTTGAATCACTGACTCAGGGTAGGGGGCAGAAGATGAAGTTCACTCTGGACTGTATGTACCCTCTACAATCAAGTCATGAAAATGATTGCAAAAAATCACATAATAATGTTAATAGTTTACCATCTTGTGGACCAGATATATGCCTGCCCCACTATATCAGAAGCTCTAAAAATTTCATTGACCAGTAAAAAAACATTTAAAAAGAAATGAAAGAAAATGTAGACAACTTATTTTTTTAGCAAGCACCACCCATTACCATGAAATAAGGGAGCAATTTTAATTTTCAAGCAGGAAGGGCAGTAACACATAACAGGTTTTCCTTTAAGTTGAATAAATTTAACTTCATGGAAAATTCACTATCTTATCTTTACTTTCTTATTTTACCACACATAAGAAAAACCTCTTCTTCATGGCCAAGTGTGAAGGAAATTCAGTAGCATGAACTCATTGTTGACAGGGTCTCAATCGTGGCTCAAAGAAAATAATTCTTCAGAATATGTCTATTGACTACCCAAATCCTAAGTAATATAAGCATAGTAACTCCTCAGTTCCTGCCTTCAAATAGCCTATGATCTAAAAAAGAAGAATAACATTGACAGATATAAAGAAAGTATTTTAAAAGGACCCTAAAAGGAATAAATCAAGTTCTGAAGGTAAAAAGAAAAACAGACTGTGAATGTCGGGCAACACTTCATGAAGAAATTGGAAAGTGAAATAGGCCTTAATGAAGAGTATCACCTTATGAAACAGAAGCCAGGAAGTAAATGTGTGCGTGTACGTATGTGGTGTGGTGGGGGGGGGGGGGTCGGGGATAAAGAATGAAGAAAGAATATTTCAGAAAATAACAGGATCAAGGTATGAGATACAAATCACACCACATCTCAGCAGTAAGCAATAGGTAATTATTAAAGAGTTTAAGAGGAAAATATTACAGATCAAGAATTCTTTCAGAAGGACCCTATTAAATTTTGATATTGGGGAAATTTATTAAAGTATATTTATCTTAAGTCCAAGGGTCATTGATTTTTCAAATCCCAACCAATGGATTCAGAACCCAAGAGGCTAAGAACAAACATTTCACAAAATGAAACATTTGTTGTAAGTCTTTCTTTGCACTATGATGATCCAAAAGAAATGTCTCTGATACTGGCTTAAAGGGTGTGATTGAGAATGGGTCATCACACAGCAACAGCCACAAGGCATGTGGGAATAAACGGGGAATGGTCTGAAGGACAAGGCAGACCCATGTAGACAAGCTACTATAAAGTAGAGGAAGGACTGAGGGGAGGAGCTGCAAAATTGGAAACCAATTCTAAACAGGCATTAAAAAGTTAATCCAATTACAGGAAGGCATCAATCAGGATGACAGGATCAATAGAACCCTAAGCAAGGGTTGGAACTAGTGAAGAAAAGTAAGTAAAAGTAATTCAAATTCAAAAGCCAATGCTAGAGAGCACAGAAGAAAAAAGGGACCTGGGAAGTCTTGGTTACTTCACACAGCCAGCCTTAAGATCAAATAAACTGACCTCCACAGGATCTTACAGGGAGCAACACAATTCCAGAAGTTTTAGACAATGGATGTGAAAACGCACAAGGTCATTTTCAAATTCCAATTTCCAATGCCCCCCCTCAAGATCCACATACCACATACTACACTGAATTAAAGTATTTCCTTTAAAAGCAAGGCAGCCAAACAGGGCAGAATTCTCAGCCTGATTGGCAGTAGTAATAGGAATTTGAGTCCAAGAGTTGATGAAATACAACCTTGGTTTTACTTTTACCATCCTTTGGCTTATTCTGTAATCAACTTAATTTTATAGTTGATCACAGTTAGGACTTTTGCTACTCCTTTTTTTACCACCTTAGGAGATTTCTGTCATCTTAAAATGTTTCTTTTTAATTGGCACTGTTGTTTTCCAAAATGGTGCTTCAATAGCTTTCTTACATACTTCAATTTATCTTCAACTACCATGTGTAGGGAAACATTTATTTCTACTTTTGTTTTATAGTAATACAAATTTCATTCCTATGAAATGCATACACTCTTGGAAATTATTTTAATGTGCAGGGAGTGATTTTTCTCATTTGGCTGCCATTATCTACACAGCATAATATGCAGAAAGGTATAAGATCACATCCTTTCCAGGAGATTACACCTTTCATATTGTGATGCTTGTCTGTGTCAACTTGACTAGGAAACCGTGTGAGATATTTGATCAAACATTATTCTGGATGTTTCTGTGAGGGCTTAGACATACGATTATCATTTAAGACTGTGGACTTTGAATAAACTACGTGGCCCTTCTTGAAGTGGGCACACTTTATCTAATTAGTCAAAGGCCTTACTAGAACTAAGACTGAGCTCCTCTGAGGATAAAGGAATCCTACTACCAGCCTATAGTCTCTTCTTATCAATTTAATCATTCAGATTTTGGATTTGCCAACCCTCGACAATTATATCCCTCAATTCCTTAAAATAAGTTTTTCAAGGTATATACACACATATGTTATATATACATACTTGTATATATTACCTGAACCTAAAAATCCAAATGCCTTTGATGTATAAATATATGCTCATATATCAAGATATTTCTAACACATATACTTTCACACAAGGTCATAAATCCCTTCCTTTCCAAATTCCTTACATTTCAAATCAAGTATAAAAATGTTGTTAGTTTGATTTTATTTCCGTGAACAATGTCTGTAAAATTTTAACACTGTAAATGACATTTCTGAGAAATATATACCTTTCAGAAAACAAAGGGCAATATATACCATTGTAATAATTTGAATTCTACTGAATTGTCTCCCTGACCTAAATAAAAGACTGTTCATTTTGTTTTTATTCTAACTTTTCAGTGTTTCTTAAATGTTGAACTACATATAGCTTTTAAGAGATTTTACAATAATAATTCAATTTAAAAAGTCAAATTATTTCCTGATTATAATTGTAAACATAATTTATGCTAAAAACAATGCATATTCAAGCCAGGAGTGGTGTGCACCTATAATTCCAGCTACTGGGGAGGCAGAGTCCAGAGGATCACAAGTCTGAGGACACCTTGAGCAACTTAGAGAGACCCTATCTCAATTTTCTAATTTTTTTAAATAAAGTAGTGGGGCTATAAGTTAATAGTAGAGAGTTTGCCTAGTACATGGGTTCAACCTGCAGTACTATAAAAATACATACCTTTAATATTAGAAATATTGTATATATTATGTTATACTCATTAGAGAAACATCTTACTTTTCCAGAGTACTGTCTGTTAAAGTACATTTAAATTAATGTGATTTAACCATGGCTCTGACAATAATGCTATTATTAGGTTGGGCATCCCTAATCCAAAAATCTGAAATGCTTCGAAATCTAGATCAGGTTGTACACTGATGTGATCCAAACAGGTAGAAAGTCCCACTTCTGGTCTCACCTGATGGGTCACAGTCAAATTTCAGATGCACTAAACATGTTGTATACAATTGCTTTCAGATTATGTACAGAATGTGTATATGAAATTTAAGGGAATTTTATGTTTAGACTTGGTTATCATTTCCAAGATACATCATTATATACATGTGAATATTCCACAATATGAAAAGATGTGATATCTAAAACATTTCTGGTCCCAAGCATTTCAGATAAAGTATACTCACCTGTAATGCCATAGGAGGTATGTTGACAATTAGAAGTTATATCTTGGACTCTGATTATAACAAATTTTTAATAAAGATAACAAAGGGGGATAGGTGAATTCAGGATTTTGAGGTAAACCAACTATCCTTGCCATTTCAGTTGCAAACAGTTCTCAAATTTGCAGTTTCTCTTCCAGCTCTCATAGTTATTGACTATCCAATTCCAGCACCCAAAATACCATAGTAATAGAAAAGAAATGGGTCAAACATTCTCTGTTTCCACACTACACCATTTCCAAACTGTTATCCTCCAATCCTCATACAAAAGAAATTGAGCCTTTAAAGCTTACCTGAGTAGGGCAGAGGTGAGGAGCATGAGTCTTGCCACTCAACACACTTTACAAGAGATCCAATCTTAAAGCTGTGGACACAGAGAATAATACTGGACTAGAGAGCAACATCAGTAACATCCGAATAAGCATAACAGTGTTTCCAGTGTGGTATCGGCTACAGAGATGAGAGTTTTCCACATTTCATCTCGAATCTATATTTCACATATAGGCCATGAAAATAGCACCAATCAGCGCTCCACAAAAAAACTGCCACTGTTTATGTGCTTAATTCACTGGGACATAGCACAAGAGAAATCATCATGCTTAGGAACTGACCATTAATTAAAAGTCACATCATTCACCAAGGAAGCAACAAAAACTGCCCAGTGAATGATCCAGATTTACACCAAATCATTTGAGGGGAGAGTGTGGTACCAGACCACTGAGAAGAGTAACAACAAGGAAGGACTAGCCTCAACAGCACAGGATCTTACACCAGCTGCCCCCTAGCGCACCGTCCTCTCCTCCAGAAGTGGGTGACATCTGTCATGCTTACAGACGCCCCACTTCCTTTCATGTCACTTCCTGCTCCAGCACACTCCACTAGGCATGCTCTCCCCGTTACTCTCATAATAAAGAACGGACTCCACAGTGAGACACTGTTGACTGAGTCAGAGTTCTGGCTTCTAGTTTTTGGACTGTCTGACCTTGAATAAGTTCCATAATCTCCCTATACCCCCATTAAAAGAGGATATTACACTTTGTATCTCAGAGTGTTCTGATAACAACTAGAAAATGTGTGTGGGGCCTTCAGCACAGTGAGCAGTGTGTCTGGGTCCTCTAAGTGCAAGTGCAAGCTAATATTTTAGTCGATATGCTATTATCTTCACCACTATGAACAGAATTACAAGGACTTCAGCCTTGTACCTTTCATAGACAAAGCCTGAGCTCCACCTACTATCCTAAACTCAATTCTTCCCATTTCTCCATCGTCTCAAAGTTATAAATTTATTATTCAGTAAACCTTAATTACTTGTTACAGTAGGCTGAATGATAATTCCCAAGGATGCCCATAGCTAAATCCTAAGAACCCAAAATATTACATAACACGTGCATTCTGAGGTGAAGCTTCAGTATTAGTGCTGCCTTGTGATGAGATAAAATCAGGCAGACTTCAGATGGCTTCACCACAAGTCTCCTGCCCACTGTGCTCTACGGACACAGTCCTCTAGCCAAAGGGTACTGGTTATCACGCAGGCACCAGGCCTGGTACCTTCTTAACCCTGAGAATAGGTATCAGTTACCTGCCAGTGACAGAATTATTCAAACAAAGCAACCATAGCCTCTTGGGGGAACCAGAAGTCACCACCTCTAAAGTCTGCCCCCCTCTGCTATGCTGTTCACTCTGTCTATGAGTTCAAACCTCAGGTGCCCTTGTATGACTTGTGGTCTTTCTCAACAGGATGTGAGCATATACAAGATAAAAGAGCTGTCTATCTCTTCTCTCCAGCATTAGTGTCATGTGTTTGGCCAGGGAGCCCCCCTCAACAGCCAGGAGAACGGGAGTCAATCAAAACATCACACGGTAAAAGGACACTGCAAATGTTAAGGAACTTGAAATGGACAAATCATTCCAGATTATCCATGTGGGCCTAATGTGATCAAAAGTGAGTTTTTAGGGGCCGGGGATTTAGCTCAGTGGTTCTGCCACCTGCCTCGCAAGCACAAGGACCTGAGTTCGATCCCTGGTACGAAAAAAACAAAAACAAAAACAAAAGTGAGTTTTTAAGAGGAATGCAGAAGATCAGAGTCAGAAAGGGATCTAAGGATTGGAACAGAGAGGAAAAATGATGCTGTCTCTGGCTCTGAAGAGAAAGAAAGGGGCCACAGGCCAAGGAATAGGTGACCTTGAAGCCTGGAAAGAGGAAGGAAACACAGTTTCCCTGGGAGTCTCCAGAAGGAACAAAGCTCTGCTGCTATCTTGATTTCAAACTCCTGAGCCTCAGAACTGTTTGAGAATAAATGTGTGCTATTTTAAGCTGTCAGCTTGTATTAATTTGTTACAGCAGCAATAGGAGACCAGCACTCTTGTCATTTGGAGTACATCTGATATCTACCTCCTTACTTCGGCTCTCAGCCCCATCTCAGCAGGGAATATCACTCCCTAAGAGACTGGCCTAACATCTATTTGTCATTTAGATCAATCCAAGCATTACAGCCTCCCAGAAAGCTTCCCTTCTCCTTAATCACCCCAGGCTCAATAAATCTCTCCTTATCTATGTTCCCATAACATTCTATGCTTATTTCTGTTAAGACACTTGAAGATTCCAGCTCCTGGCCAAGAGCCTGTGCGTAATATTTCACGCCCAACAACAGATAGTTTCAAAGATATTACATACCTGGCAAACCTCCTGAGGAAGCTGTTCTCTCCATACCAGGCCGGATGCGCAGCCAGTGTGTTGCAGTCTCTGAAGGGACTTACAGTGAAGGACTCAGGCCTCCTCTATCAGCCATGTTCTAACATATAACTGTGTTCCTACCCCTGACGGTTCCATTTAGAAGCCTCTTTATCCGGGGCCTTCAACTGAAACCTTCCCAGGCACCTCTCTTTATAGTACACAAACTCTTTATGGTGGAGAAAATTGAAGACATTATCCCCTCACTATGCTTCAGTAGTCAGTATTTTTCCACTCCTAGCCTTTCTTCTCTCCTTCTCCCAGTCTTGAATCCATATAACTGCAAGAGCCTTTTGTTTGGGGCTCTCCTCACAGTGAGATTCCCCACAACCACCTGAAAGTGGTTTCAAGCCATGGGGTAAAAAGGAACAGGTGGAGCAGGATTTAAAGGCAGCCAGCTGAGCTGCCAGTGTGGACTTAGCTGATTAAGATCAGCCAAAACTAAAGTACAATCAAACTTCAGTCTTTTAGTGTCTTGGGCTCACCTGAGCACCCATGGCTTAAGATTTGGGTGATATGTTTGCCTCTTGCCCATTACAGTACTAGTAGCACACACACACCCCCACATTCCCTCTGAAGGCAGCAAGCTTGCCCACTCATCTCTTCAGCTATTGCCTGGTTTAAGCTAAGGCACCTTTGGATACCTCTGGTAGTATATTTTTACATACTTAAACTGAATCTTCTTTTCCAGCATAACTTGTATTCAGTGTCTGTACAGCTGCTCTCAAGAAAAGATGTATTTATAAAGTAATGAGATGTGCACGTGTTTTTAAAAGTCATGCAGGACAGAACCCAGAGAAAGACAGTGAGTTTCTTATGAAAGTGTGTTCAACCAGGTCACTTTAGTATTTGGCTAATGGAAAGGTCGTCAGAGATTCCATGTCATACAGTATAACAGTTAATTCTTGGTCCTCAATTTATGCTGTTAGCATTTCACGCTCTCCTTAACTTCCAGGACATCATCCGATCTTGGGGTTTTTCTCTTCCTCACTATGTTCACCCTCAGGTTTCTTTGCTGGTTCTTCCTCACCTCTCAGATTCAAAAACACTAATCATCGATCACTAATCCCTATCCCCATGCCTCTTGGCATCACAGTTGCATGACTTTAATGTGCATTTCTGAGACTACTAAGATTTTTATACCAGCCTAGACCTTTCTCCTCAAACCCCAATATAATTAATCCAAAAAACACTTCTATATTTTAACTTGAAATTCTAGTATTAATTCTGAATTAAACTGCTGATTTTTCTCTGCTTACTTCTTTCAAACTTCTGTTTTCCATGATGACATTTTTCAGGTGCTCGGTTCCAAAGCCTTGGAGTCAGTCATCTTTGGCTCCTTTCTCACTAGTCGTGTTTCACTAATAAAGCCTGTTGTCTTGTTTAAAACATATCAACTGCTCGAGCACACCTCACAACGTCCATTGCTGCCACCACCTCCCACATCATCTTTCACCTAGAGGAGCCGACAACCCGTCTCTCTCCAGAGTGGCCTCAGGGAGCTGCCAGAGTGACTCTCTGCAGTTGTGGATCAGATTATATCACACTTTTCCTCAAAACCCTCGGGTGCTTTCAAGTCTCCCCGGTCAAAAGTTGAATCCAGGAAGTCTCCTTCTAGGCCCACGCCAGCTGGTCTGCATTATTCTATCAGTCTCATCTCATCCCATACTTTCTATGTAGTCCACACATAGTCCCCTCCTTCCGGCCTCAGGACCTTTCTACTTTCTCAGTCTCTCACCCTGGCATGCTCGTTTCCCAGACAGCCCATGATTTATTTCCTCACTGCCTTCAAGTCTTTACTGTTACAGCATTTCAGCAAGTCCTTCCATGACAAAACTACTTAAAATTACGACTCCTACCTAAACATACTTTCCAGTCTCCTCCTGTGCCCTACTTTTCTCCTTATACTTATCACTATCTAATCCACCATTGACCTCTTTTTAACGTTATTGTCTTTTTCATCTTACCTTCATTTTTTAATTTTGTCCACTGCTTTAATCTTGGCCTCTAGAACACTCTATGGCATATACAAGGCATAAATAAAATTGTAGAAAGATGAAAAGAAAGAAGAATTCATAATAACCAACATTTTGTTAAGATCTACTTTTGTCAAACATTATATTAGTCATAATGCAGAGATTTACATTAACTCTGTACAACTACTCTAAAAGAGATAAACTATTGTTATGTAACAGATGTAACCAAGTTTAGAGGTTAGAGAGGTTCTAAGTAATGTGTCCAAAATCACACTAGTAATTGATACTGAATTAACACATTCTTTTGATACATATTTTGTAGGATTAAATTACGACTAGAGAGAGCTCTCTAAGAATGAGGCTTCATGTCTATAAAATGTGGGAATGTCAATTGTACTTTTACGAACAATGTTAAACATTATATGTATACATATTCAACTACATATACAACTTGCTATAACAAAATTATCATGGAAAATTAAAGATTATAGTCATATTTGCAACATTCCAAATAATATAACTTCCTTAGGGAAATTTATTGAAGCACAGTAAAAACTTTTACAGTAATACTATGGTATTTCTTTTTGTTCTTATATTCCACTAATGGCTCTTCAGTTTACAGTTATTTTTTCCAAAACTCATTGATTATGAAAATAATTATGGTACTGTATTTAAAATATGGGAATGGAAGAAATATTTCGTCGAGTTTTATCCTGCTTTAATATTTAGGCTGCCCTAACTTTGAAATGAATGTAACTGGTTGAATGAAATTTTAAAATGAATTTAAAATAAATTCATTTTTGAAACATCTATATTTTTGGTTAATTTGGTCAACATGAAAATTTGAATTGAGCTATTTGAGTAGTTAGAAAAACTGAAAACAAATTTTTTATATATTACATCTTTCAATTTTAATTTTTATAAAATTAACAATTGTAATTTTGTACAAAAATTTTTATTTTCTAATTTTTATGAAGAAATAGTTGGAACTAACTTACAAAGTTGATGCTTTGTAAGCATCAGGTTACTTTTGTAAGCATCAGGCTACTACCTGAGAAAAATTGAATGTGAACTGTAAAGAATCAAATTTCCTATGTAAAATAATTTAAAGATGCACTCATGGTTCAGTGCTTCTGTAGGTAGTAATTACTATACCCCTATACAGGATAGGTATATGGACATTTTTTAGTATTTTGCTATAACTGCACATTCTTGGTATTTTTATATCACATTTTTTCATAATTAAGCCTTTTCTGATTAAAAACAGTAATCTATAACAAAGTATATCTGCAAAGCCAGTACTAAGAAATTTAGTAACTATGTAGGTATTAATATTTAGGAAACATTTCATTTTCCTAAAAGAAACAGCAAATATAGTTTATTTTTGACACTGTACTTCATCTCTCATTATGGAGACTCAGCATATTTGGAAATGTGGTAAAATTGGCATTACTTAAAACCAATTTAAAAGTTATTCTCATACTACCTGAAAATCCTAATCCAAATGAGTTTGTCTGATCAAGAAGCTAAGTTGAGAAAATGTAAGTATACAATTGAGACTGGTGATAGGGCTTGATAATATATTCCTAAGCAGAACTGAAACTATCCTTTTAAAATCATACCAGAAGATGAGAAGAGCTCAGGAAAGAAAAGATCTAGAGAAATTTATAAGAATCTGAAAAAGCTGATTCAGCAATAAATTGCCTGAAAAAAAATTGTATAATCCAGGTTAAATAGTTTCAATAGTATAAAAATAGAGTAAAACTTTTCTTAATTTAATTCACAATTTTCTTCATTTAGCAAATTTACATGTTTTCCAGGCCCAAATGCAAATTTTTATCGCTATTGTCAGCTTAAAAGGAAAGAATTTTATAAATTCAAAGTCCAATTATTTGGCTCCTCTAGGAGCTTAAGCTTTATTCTTTCTTTCTCAGTCATCATCTCAAAAATAGATAATACACTCACAAAAAAGATGAAATTGAGGTTATTTTGACCTAAGTAGCGAATGAAATCACCAGGACTAATTCTAACAGAATTTATTTATTCTCTTTTTATATTATACTCTTAATTTGTTTATAACTTTGAGAAGACATAAAATAATTCACTGGAGTCAAATATAAAATTTCTGAAATAAAAAAAATAACAGCTAGAATACAATAATAAGCCCCTGAAAGTTGGGTCTATAATACCTATCAAAATATTCATTTGTTCATAAAGATAGGAAAAGTTAATTATTTTAAGCTAATATAAGAAAAATATATTTTCTTAACTTTTTAAGTTTATGAACAGAAATAAATTTCAGATTTATACATCTCTACAGAGAAATCCATTTCAAACTTGACCTTAATTTTGAAATGTTTAAAGAAATATCTAATTTTATAAAATTTTAAAATTTAAAATATTGACAAAATTGGAGGTTACCTGGAGCCGTTGTCCTATACATATTTTTGTTGTTGACTTCAAGTGAAATTCGGAGGGTGGCACTATGGGTAATTTCCGTCTCTTTATCCTCATTCCCTCCCTCTCTGGCATGTTGTCATTATCTTCATCCAGGATTCTGCATGACACCAGGTGTGCTTGTGTCCATGCCCTTGCATAATCCACTCTCCTGGAAGGTGGACTAGGCCTAGTGACACGCTTCTTTTTTTAATTTTGATTTTTATTGGTACATGTTTGCAGTACATGATTACATCTTTTGTAGGAACTTGGTACAGGTACATAGCACATCTTAATTCCTTTTCTCATCCCCTTTCCTTTCTCTCCTCTCCCTCTCCCTCTCCCTATCTCTGTGTCCCCTTTCCTTTTGCAAAAGATCTATCTCTCTTTTTCCTATTATCGATCTTTTATTTTACTCTTTATTTATGTGTTGGGCTTCTCATATAAGAGAAACAATGACATGCTTGTAACAAACATAATACGGCACTGGTGATGGGGTATCATTTACAGGATTAGGTTTTAAAAGATTGGCTTATTCTTCCCTCTCTGGCAGGCTCTCTTTGAAGCCAGCTCCCATGTTGCAAGCCGCCTTATGAAGACACTCAGATGCAGTAACTGAGGAAGACCTTTGCCCAAACCGGTGAGAAATGGAGACTCCCAGCCCTAAAATCTGGGAGGCATTGAATACTGCAGTAAACACTGAGTGAGCTCAGAAGCAAGTTCTGCCTCAAATGAACCTTAAGATGACCAAAGCCTCTGGCACTTCGATTGCATCCACATGAGAGACTCTTAAGCCAGAGGATTCAGCTAAGCTGAGTTTGGATTCCTGACCCAGTGACACTGTGAGATAATAAATGGGCATTGTCTTACATTGCTGGATGTCAGGGTAAATTATTACACAGCAACAAGTAACTAATAAACTCCATCTTCCCCAAAATTTATAATCTATTAAAAGAACAAAGTTAATTTTAATGTAAGGCAAGATGTGATGTATCAATAAGGTTTTTTTTAAAGCATTATGGTGGCACTGGGAATGATGATTTCTGACAAGGATTATTTATTAAAAATGATTG